GTTTGGCACCCCTGAGGTCACAGTATTGGATGCAACACCTTTGATGCATGACTGTTAGTTGTTTAGAATTTTACACTTCCTCAAAGCCTGTTCTTCATAAAATGACCTTTTGCATTTCTGATCTCATGAGTATTCCCGACCTTATTGATAAAATGTATGCATCTTGGACACTTGATCACTTTTATCTTATTTTTAGCTACTGATGCAATAAACACATAGCACCATGGTACACATTCAAGCTAATATCAGGCAGGTTGATGACAGCTATTTGCCCCATTATATCTGCTTTGTACAAAATTGTTTTAGCTCCTTATTACATAAAAGCGCAACATCCTTAAACAAATCTTGCATATGAGCCATATCAGATTGACCTGAAATGCTATCCGTCTTTCTCTCTTTGAAGCTGTTCAATATACTGTGTGTTTCCAGAAGTGCACAGCATCATGACATTGTTTCAATGCACTAATTCATCCCACAGATGGAAGAGCAAGACAGTCTAAAACAATGGATAATCCAAGTGGGAGTCAATAACAGGTTCATTATTACAGGACTTCAAGGGAAAGGAGGAAAAGTTATTCTTTGAAGCAGGCATTTGGCAAGTTCACAAACTTTGCTTAGAAAAAAATTGATAGAGCCGCTTGGCATGATTGATGATTTTATGGGTTTTCAATGTATTAATTGACATAATGTTTGATTGTATAAATGTTCAAGTAAAATAACAATACCCCCAAACTGAAAGGAGTAACATGACAACTAAAGTAGTACCACATCCTATCGTCAGATAGAAAGAGCTTTGTGTTGAATAATAATTAAATCACACAATTTAACAAGAATTTAGAAAGTTCATCTCTTTAAGTACATAGAAACTGAAAATAATTGGATCCTGCCCCTTGATAGTTGGTTCAATTTTCTTTTGCAAAGAGAATATAACTGGGGCCCAAAACTTAACTTCATAATATACAAGAGATAGCAAGAACTGCCGATGCTGGAGTCTGAGATAACACAGTGTGGAGCTGGAGGAACACAGCAAGTCAGGCAATATCAGAGGAACAGAAAAGCTGATATTCTGGTTGGGACTCTTCTTCCTGTGCCTCTGATGCTGCCTGGCCTGCTGTGTTCCTCCAGCTCCACACTATGTTATCTCTTCATAATATACAACCTTGCTTTTCAGAGGGTACATCCCCTGCTACCTCAGGAAGAGGAGGAGAACAATGAAGAAGAGAGGGAAGAGAATGCAGGGAGGATACATCCAGGAGCCCTTTGTTTTGCAAGGGCTTTGTTTGAGTGCCATGCTGAGACTCTTTCCCTGAAGATATCATTACCAATTCTCTACCTTTTAAGTGATCAGCCTTGTTCCATCAGTATTGTCTGGGTTAGAGGTCTGAACATTCAGCTACAATGTTATTTATCTAGTAAAGGAAGCTAATCTGCCTTTGAAATTGTCATAAAGAGTTATACCAAATGACCCCCAAAGAGGCCCATGATTTATGCTGCAGATCCAGCTGTAGCCAAAAGCAACCAATTAGACTTTGTTACATTAAGAGAGTCATGAAATAATTAAAGGATTTCAGGACTGTCCATCGAAGCCTCAAAAGGTGTGAGGACACAAAACTTCCGTAATGTTGATCAGGAGACAAGAGGGGTATTTCCAGAAAAAAAATAGAAATTGCTGAAGAAACTCAGTAGGTCTGGCGGCATCTGCAGAAAGAAAGTAGAGTCAATGTTTCATATCCAGTGACCCTTCTTCCGATGCACAATTTACTTTGCTTCGTGGAACAATAAGTCATCAAAGTTGACATTTGGCACTATTTTGTTTGATTGTGATAAAAGATGCCATGAGAGATATTTTGAAACAGAAACTGCTTCTGGACAGAGAGACAGAGGAAGGTATCCAAGACAAATGAGCTAAGGGGCTTCTGTACTGAACCAAGTTACCAAGAGTCAGAACATCCAGTGTCACATAAGTAAAATAATGAAGCCTTCACTTACTGCTCCCTGGACCTGGTCTGCTATTGAGTCCACGTACAAAGGAAAAATGTGTATGTTCATCAACAAAAGTCACCATAACTACTGAATCTGACTCCCAAGTTTTAATCCCTTCACTTCAGAAAGAGTAACTTTAAGCAAACGAAGCATGCAATGACATTAGAGGCTGAGCTCATTTTCATCGTCATATATAATCTGTGTCCTTACTTACTTTATATCTTTGTATGTGTATTTAAGCTAATATCTTTACAATCTTTACCTAGAAACTTTCAACAATAGTTGAGTAGCTGTATTGAATTAAGCTTTGATCTTGTTTGAAGCTTCACGAAATAGATTCCCAGCAGAAGTCAATTGCCATCTCGCTGTGATGTTCACAGTGCAACAGAAAGTCCCACTCTGTACCTGCACCAGAAAAGCAAGGAATGTCCCTCTGCCTCATCAACATCTCATAATCGAGCTACTTGCACATGCTGCCCTCTATTTCATTGACACACCACTGAAAGTTCTGGGGTAATACAGCAGAAGTGAGTAACAGGTCAACAATTCCTTTACCTGACCCTTGCTTCTGTGTCACTCATCACTCTACACGACAAGGGTCAAGAAATCTGATGCCATTTAAATGGAATTTGGATTGACTTGATGGACAATGATGGAATTATCTATTTATGCATGGTCCTGTGTTCATGTATTCATTTGTAACAACTCACATGTTACTTCACCTGAAGTATTTCTTAGAGATAATTAAATGAAATAGATAGGGTTTGAATCAGTAAATTGATATTAGATGATATATTCACATTGATTATATTTGTAGGGGAGTAGATCATAACTTCTACCAACATTTTATTTCTATCAAGGTTTATTTTGTTGGACAACAACTGTCAGTGATAATTTTGCTTTTCCCGGTTATCTCTTCTTGACAAATCTCCTGTTTTTCACTTTTACTGTTCCCTTCTCCTTTTCCCTTATGCTGTTGTTGCTTTGTCATTTAATCTCTCTAGCTTTTACCCTTTCATATACATTTGCTTTTCTTCTTTCTTCAAATTCATCAAGTCCCTGCCTTGTATAAAAACGATGGTGTTACTAATTTTTCCAAATGTTGATAAAGACCATTAACCTGAATCAATGAGCAAGATTTAACCTCATACAAACCTATTCACCTGCATGGAGGAAGTCTTCCTCCTCCCAGAAATGTTGCCATACATTTCAAGTATTTCCAGCACCTTCCAGTTTTTATTTCAGATTTCCAGTATATGCTCCATGGAACTTAATTGCCTTTTGAAGACTCATCCCTCAGGGAATGCTGTTAAACTGTGCAATGTAATTGCATGCTTTTCAATGAGAACAGAAAACGTTAAAAATGCTTTTCCAGGTCTGCCAGCACTTGCGCAAACAAAAAGAGTTTACGTTTCAGACTTTTCATTTTAAAATATTGCCCTGTCTCTTGACACATGATATCATATTGTTGCTTGACAAATAAATATCATTTATACCCTATTGAATCTAGAGGACCTTTCACGATGGGTTTTGCAATGACTTTCTTCTCATTAGACCAGTTTTATGTAGGTATGCTCCTTGTCTATCTTTTGATCTTAACTTAACGCCCAAACTTGGTTAACAATAGACGTTAATCCATAGTTAGGCATAAAGCTAAAGGAATCAGAAGCAACATTTATGTTTAGTTCTTGTTGATTCTGTAGGGTAAGAAGAAAACATAATTGTCTTCCCAAACTCTCAGATATTTAAACCTTACCATTTTTACAGCAACTCTGCTATGAATTTTACTAGTCAATGTGTTTCTCCAAATAATATGTATTATTCTGCATTCAGTGTGTCTATATCATAAGATGTCCTATTATGATGTCTAAAAATGTAGTGTTACGGTGCTTTAAAGATGTTTCTTCAAGCATTTCCAAACTGAACACAAATAATAGGATGGATTTGAAATATATTTCATGATTCTTCCATTTGGGTCAGTTATATCCTTGAACATATCACAGTTTTGGAAAATATAACTGGAATGTCAAGAAGTTTCATATTTGTCACATCATTGTAGGGATGTAAAGAAATATTGACAATTATTTTAAAGATGGAGCCTGTGTGTTGAGGAGAAATTTTACCTGTAGTATTTGCCCTTCATAGAATGCATTAATGGAAATAGCACCTAACATTACAACCAACTTGTGCATAGAGCTGTCATCTTAAATTTTCCAGAAGATGTTGGGTCATAAACAATACATTTATTTATTGTGATGAGCCAATATTCTGGTAAAAGATTTGTGGAGTAGCCATAGAGTTAAATAGTGCTTCCAAAGCTTAAAACCCAAAATGCAGAGCATCATTTGTTTTATTCGTTCATGTCATGTGGGCATCGCTGACTGGGCCAGTAATGATTGCCATCCCTAGTTGCCTTGAGAGGGTGATGGTGAGCTGCCATCTTAAACTGCTGCAGTTCACTCACTTTGGTTAGACCCACAATACAGGATCCAGGATCTCTACCCAGCAACACTGAAGGAATGGCAAAATATTTCCAAGTCAGGATGGTGAGTGGTTTGGAGGGGAGCTTGCAAGTGGTGAGTTCCCATGTATCTGCTGCGCTTGTCCTTCTAGATGGTAGTAGTAATGGGTTTAGAAGGTACTTTCTGGCAATGATGGCACTTGATAGTGCAATATTGCCTCCTGGGGACAAACCAAATGCTGCTAAAAAGCCTAATTTCTTCATATCCTTGATATCATGTCATTTGAAGAACTTGATAAAGATTATTTTGTTTGTGAATTGAGGAGAGGCTTCAAATTTTAAAATGTGTCCCTGTGGGACTGTGAATATTGTGACATTGAGGCTAAGAATTTCCCTTTTGCAGTCTAAGTGTTGAGTGCAGGCTTTGTGTTGACCAAACTTACCACCCCTACCCTGAGAAGGATGGCTAGATTGGACATTAGGTTGCTTGTTAAAAGCTGACCAATGAGTTTCAGTGAAATTCTCAACCTATCACAGACCACGGTATTGGCATTCTGGCTTGCCAGAAGTGGCAAATCAGAGGCTGGAGCTTCTGGGTCCTAAAGACCACTGATCGAGGCCTATTCTTTAAGGCATTAGATGGTGACAAGGTATGTCCTTTTCATTTATTTACTGTGATTGGGGATCATGAGAAGGGGTTCAGCGGGTTTGAGACAAGGCAAAGGGTTGCCACCTCACTTGCCATATCCATGACTTCAAATGCCCCAGATTGGAACAAATAGAGACCCACACCTCTCAAGCTGAGATGTGGTGAAGTGAGGCAATTAGGTGGCCATTAGGTGACCACCTAAGGACATTAAGTGAAAGTTTTCAAAGGATCTTCTGGCTCAGCACTTTATTAGTGAAATAGCGAAGGGGCTGAATATCGTTCCAGAGTCAATTCATTCAATTATTTGAAACAAAAACTGAAATTGCTGGAGAAATTCAGCAGGCCTGGCAACATCTGTGGAGAGAAAACAGAGTTAATGTTCCAAGTTCACTGACACTTCTTCAATAATAGTGTGATTAAAATCCTATCGTATCTGCTCCCATTTAGACTTTCTAAATTTGTATGACATTTTACATCAATAGGGATGAATCCCCCAAAACTTCTGCAAGTTCTGCTGTGTACTATTAGTTGCTAATTTTTTTTTTAAATAATTATCATACTGTCTCCATAAGGTACAATCGGTGTTGATAAAATGATATAGATTTGGTTATTATGTGATTTTTTTTTAGACACTTCATATCATTGAAGAATGTTTTAAACAATAGAATCTAACTGGCCATGCTTTCAGGCATGGGATGGTAGAGTAAGATAGAGTTCTGCCATCAATTTGCCACCTAAATGTAAATTACCAGGCTTTATTCACATTCAACTGACCACTTGTACACATGGTTTGGAAAGAGGCAGCTGGAAGATGAGTACATTTCAGCAAGCTCTGTGTATGGGCAAATTGGTGTTGAGGGCCTCAGAGGGAGATGCTGCAGCTTCTGGTGACCCGTAAGAGATCTTCTTGTGGGACTCCTTGAGTTGTCATGCTTATGTTTTGTGACCAGCTCTGGGGAAAAATGCTATTTTAGACCTACTGATTCATATTCTATACATGATTCACATCCAATTAAGATTGCCTTACAGAATTAGGTGGCTATCTATTGTTACCAAAATCAAGGTTTGGAAAAGGAGCAGGTAGTTGAGTCTAACCTTTTATATTAATTGTTCTTGCCAACTCTATTTCAAATTCCACACACAGTTAGCTAAAAGTTCCATTGAGGGATTGGCAGTCTTATTAACTTTTTACCTCTAATATCACTAAATATGGAGCCGTGTTCCTCAAAAAGAAATGTGATATGGCCCAAAATATCACTCCCTGGCTTACAAATGCCTCTTGCTAATGCACTCCTTCAGTAAGAGATTGGTGTGGTTTATTTGATTTATTTGAGGAGATGTAACCCACTGATCACTCAGGGAGCTAATAAAAGGTTTTTGTTAGTCTTTGAATTACAAGAGATTTTGCATCAGCAAGGCTTTGTAATTGAGGCACTGAAAAGACCAGCTATAACTGCACTTAAAATTCAAGAAGAGTAGGATATATTGAATGTGAGATAGTAGGAACTGCAGATGCTGGAGAATCCGAGACAACAAGGTGCAGGGCTGGATGAACACAGCAGGTCAAGCAGCATCATAGGAGCAGAGAATGTGCCTTTGTTTTATTACCTACATAAGATCCTTAGCTTGCAGATATTAGTATTGCTTCTCTAGCTGTCTTTAAGCTGTCCTGGAGCCTTTTTGCTATTCTCTGCAGGGCATTATTTATATTAAAAAGACTTTGTCGTCCTTATGTTCCCTCCATTACAGCCTTAAAAGATGACTTAAAAACATTTGATTTTATTAGTTTGCATTGATGCATGCTTCCACATCTTTCCCCTTAACACTTCTTATCCTCTAATTGTATACTTTCCACCAAACAGTGTTAGAGACGTTGATCTTTTTTTTTTATTACTGGGTTTTCTTATATTCAAGCCTTGTTATTACTCTAAAAGCAAATGGAGAACTGTAATGTCATTTTTCTGATCAAGTGTATGATTGTACACTGGGATTTTTTTCAGCTTTTGTTCCAGCTATAATGAAGCTATCAGAGTAAAGAAGGGATGTTTTTCTCAGAAAATAAAATCTTGCAAAACACCTTAGCACAGCAACGACAAATCTCATAACACTTTACTCACAAAGAATTAAGAATGTTTAAGTGTAGGAGCTTCTTTGCATGTAATGAGGTTCCAAAAACAGAAGTGAGATGAATGGCCATTCTTATCTACATTTATTTCTTAATGAATGAGGAAGAATGTTGGCTTTATGCCTTGAGAGAGCTCTCTGTTCTTCTTTATACAGCATTAAGATCAAGCAGTATTCCTTCTTTACTGTCATGGTTTGAGGGGTAAATGCATGTGTCAACATTTGCTATCAAAATCAGTGAGTACCTCTCTTCACTCTCTACATTCCCCACCAGCGAACATTGCTCTGACTTGAGGGCATTCTTAATGTTGGCAGGGATTCTTGGGTGTGGGTGTGAATGAGTTCACACCTAAAACCAATGGAAAAGAAATTTGAATCTACAACAGGATGCTGATTCATTACCACTTATATTTTGTCCCTGCCAATTTTCCACGTGCTTCTCATCAATGAGATTTGAGACACTGTTACAACTCTTCTTTTCTGAAGCTCCTATTCAGAATTTACAGAATGTTTTTGTTAGTAGCTGAAGACCATAAGACAGAAGTAGAATTTTAGGCCATTTGGCCTATCAAGTCTGTTCTACCATTCGATCATGGCTAATATATTTCTCAACCCCATTTTCCTGCCTTCTTCCCATAACCCTTGATCCCCTTACTAATCAAGAACCTATTTATCCTTGTCTTAAATACTTCCAATGATTTGGCCTCCACAGTCTTCTGCAGCAATGAGTCCACAGTTTCACTACCCTCTGGCTGAGGAAATTCCTCCTCATCTCAGTTCTAAAGAGTCATCTTTTCACTTTGAGGCAGTGCTGTCAGGTCCTAGTCACTCCTATTGGTGCAAACATATTCTCCACATCCACTCTATCCAGGAGTCTGTGTTCTGTAAGTTTCAATCAGATTGCCTTCATCCTTTTAAACTCCATCAAGTACAGACCTAGAATCCTTAACCACTCCTGATATTGATAAGCCCTTCATTCCTGGGATCATTCTTGTAAATCTCCACTAGACCCCTTCCAATGTCAGTACATCCTCTCTTAGATACGGGGCCAAAAACCACTCACGATATTCCAAACGTGGTTTGGCAGATCTTTATACAGCCTCAGCAGTACATCTCTGCTCTTGTAATCTAGCCACCTTAAAATGATTGCTAACATTGCATTTTTGTCCTCAACTACTGACTAAAACTACATGTTAGCCTTAAGAAAATCCTAAACTAGGATTCCTAAGTCTCTTGTGTTTCAAATTTCCAAAGCCTTTCCCCATTTAGAAAATAGTCTATGCCTCTATTCTTCTGACCAAAGTGCATAGCCTCACGTTTTCCTACATTGTGTTCCATCTGGCACTCCTTTGCCCAATCTCGTAGACTGTCCAAGTCCTTTTACAGCCTCCACACCTCCTCAACATTGCCTGTCCCTCTACGTATCTTTGTGTCATCAGCAAACATAGCAATAATGCCCTCAAGTTCCTTCGTCAGGATCTCTAATGTATAATGTGAACAGTTGTGGTCCAGACACTGACCTCTGAGGAGCTCCACCAGTCACTGGCTGCCATTGTGAAAAAGACCCTTTTATCCCTACTCTGTGACTTCTACCAGTCAGCCAATCTCCTATCAATGCCAGTATCTTACTCCTAACACCATGGGCTAATATCTTATTTCACAGCCTCCTGTGCAGCACCTTGTCAAAGGCCTTCTGGAAATCCAAATAGATCATGTCCACTGGCTCTCCTTTGTCAACTTGTTTTTCACTTCCTCAAAGAATTCCAACACATTTGTCAGGCATGACCGCCCCTTGAGAAAGCTATGCTTACTCAGTCCTTTTTTACCATTTACTTCCAAGTACGCCATAGTCTCATCTCTAATAATGGACTCTAAATCGTACCAACAACTAGACTTGGGTAAGTATTAGCTCTCTTACAATTGGATCAGAATGTTGCAAGCTTTTAGCATTATACTTGAGCCAATAATGCAGGTAGACAGTTCATTGAAACACTGAGACAGTGCTATGCAATCAGAGGTGCTGTCTTCTGGATGAGCAAAGGCTCCACTTACTTTGTGGAATGTGCTTTTGCTTTCCTCAGCTCAGGAGCTCTTTTCCATTTCTTTTATTACGTCAACTATCATCTTGGTACTTGATTACTAAGGAGTTGTCTTTCTCAAATGCCTTCAATGGGGAAAATGAAATGGTCATTTGTGCGCCGGCATCGTGAAACAACAAAAATTGGAAAATTGCCAGATTGAAGCATTAAGCCAACAATTAGCAAATTTATGTTTAATTTTGCAGCTTGGATCTGAAGTGACTTTAGAAGCCTCATTGCAATATGGAAGGGACAGCTTTCAGGACTGGCAAAGATAGGTCCCTGACATGAGCAGTGGTCGGAGGAAGTACACCAATTCAGGCTTGGGGTTTTGCACTGCTAAGTTCGTTATTTTTATACACTTAGATACATAACATGTTTGTAACAATGTTTAATATAAATTCTTCTGACTTTCTTTTTGTTCCTGAGCTTCCTCAATGTAACCATTGAAGAAAACAAAATAAAGTTAGCCTGCATAGAGAGTAGGACAAAATCTTAAAAAGTAAAGACCTGATACAATCCTGATGAATTCAGACACAACATAATTCCCAGAAGGGTTTACATAATAATGATTAGAAGCAGGAACACTGGCCTACATTTTGATTTTTGTCTGTTGTCAGTTTTAGGATCAAGAGTCAGACCCATTTCACTGAATTTACCTCAATCTGATTGGAATCAGCTAAGACAACATAGAAATGTATTGCACCTGAAGACCATCAGTGTAGAATGGTCAATTTAAAATACACCAGTGTAAGGAAAAATAAGCTGTTAATTTTTAAACACTGCAACATTCAAAAAA